AATTATGTTTTCTACACCAAACTTGGTATGTCATAACATCATTGTATGAAGAGCATAATTTACTAGTCATATTATATAAATCATCACATGTATGTCATGATTGTCATGATTTACATTTCAAGGTGTTGTTGCTCTTGCGGTGGTTTCGTTCACATGACGTGTTGCCAAACCGGTATGGTATGACATGACTGCATGGTGAACACAAGCGACCGACCCTAACATGAAAATCAGGACAAACGTGTCGAGTAACATGACTACAAGACAAACTTAAGATACACTCGCGGTTGTTTCGCTAGCTTCGCACATACGAAATTTGGTTTACGGTACGTGAATTCATGGCGAAGGTATGTGACTGGTGCAAACTTGATAATCATTACAAGCTTGTAATGTAACAACATGAGTACATGCCACGCACATGATGCGCTCGTGGCCGTTTCGCTAGCTTTACATATACAAAGTTTGGTATTACGGGACGTGAATGGATGACGAATGTGTGTGACTGGTGTTAACACGATAATCTTGAGATGCGTGTCATGTGCCAACATGACTACATGCTATGCTCATGATGCGCTCGCGGCCGTTTTGCTGGCTTCACACGTACCAAATCCAGTATTACGCCACGCGAACGTATGACTTAGGTAAGTGGCACGCTCAAATATGATAATTATGACATGCGTGTCATGTAATACCAAGACTACGATTGACGCTCAAGGTGCCAACACACATCGCCGTGACCCAGGGCGCGTGTGCGCCGGCGTTCGTTTCATCGCGCCACGCCGGCGTTGCCACGCCAGGCACCAATCTGCCTGCCATACAGTCGCAGGTGCGCGCCGCGCTGGGTTACTTTGACGCACGCGCGTTTGAGCACGCTCAGCATCCCTCCATTACAAGAGAGGCAGACGCAATGCTATAAGAGTGCTGTCTAGGTTGAGCTGGGTAACGTAATCGGCACGAAATGCAGCATGTTGCATTTCGTGTCGGTTGCCGCTGGGTCGCGCCGACGGATGCTAGTCGTGTCGATCGCGCCTGGCATCAGACAATACACCAGAACACAGTGAGCTCAGTGCTTGCTGTCATATTGAAAAGCGCGTGGCGCCGTCTGTTGCAAGCGCGGTGAAGCAACACCCTGAACTGCCAGGCGAGCAGACGCTCTGAAAATCCAACTGAAAACTTCACAACTCGAATCCGGCTGTCAGCGTGTTTCGCACTGTTCCTGTTCTGGACGTTTATGCCGATTTCGTGTGAAATGTCAAGGAGACCTTCCTCGACAGTCCGGAATGTCTGCAGCACGTGCATTGCAGACTATGGAAGCAGCTTCATCAGGTACGTACTATTACGATCAAAAGAAACGCGAGCAGCGGAAAGTGTTGCTTTCGACTCAGTCGAACAGCGGCGTGTCTTGATTTTAACAAGGCAGAATTTGTACTGTAAGCCAGCGTCTACTACGTAGCGCTAGAATTTGGTTCCAACTTACGCTTATGCACCGACTGTGTATCAATGGCCAGTCCTGCCGGGCACTCGGAACACACGCGCGCTGCAAAAGGGCCAGCCAGAACAAGGTATTAAATTTTACGGTGACGCCGGCCGAAAACGCGTGTATACAGATGCACCTAGTGACACCCAAGGCATGTCGCAGTTCGACTGAGTCGAAAGTCGTGCTTTCCGCGCCGTTCATGCGTCGCGATTGTAGGGCCCTGCAGTTGTACTAAACATGCGCCGTGAGTGCACCAACGCGTGAGTCGTAATACGTATATCCTATTATTGACGTGCGGCCTGCGAAAGAGTACGCCAATAGTTTTGTGCCTCATACTACAGGCATACTGCACGCAAATCGCCGCTCTAAAGTGAAACAGCTGTAGTCACTCTTGAATAAACGCAATAAGTATATTTACTTGTACACTTCATTGTGCGCGAAGTTTTTCCTGCTGATTGCTATTATATCCCAAGGCGGTTAAACTCGGCGTTTTTCGTTGTAAACGGAAATCTGTGAAATCGCAAAACACCGCACCGGCGCGATTCTAGCGTTGCGCTGTGAACTTCACAGTCAGTTCTCAGCAATCTCTTCCTCTTGCGCTGGATGTTGTCGCATCAGATGACAGCGCAGTGGTACCCAGATGACCTTTTATAAGCGGGCGCTGCATGAACAGGCGCATTTTCGCAATTTAAACTCCCAGAGCCACGGAATTCCATACTAGCGAGGTGCGCCTTGGCAGTAGCAAACAAATTATGGCATCTCTGGGAGCGAGGATATACCGCCGAAGTCGCCTGGGTTTGAGATAGGCGTGCTCTCATCTATAGAGACTCCCGTTTTGCTAGCGTAGCGTTACTGCGCCTAGCGTGCGCACGCGTCAACGTTACTTCGGAGTACGTTGGGCACTTCCTAATATGCCTTTGGGCGTCATCTTTCATCAACATATGTTCTGGAATTCTCACACTGAACAATTGTGTATTAAGCTAAGAAAATCCCTTGGCGTGCTGAGAAGGTGTCAGTCGTTTCTACCGCTCCCCCAGAAACTTCTTATCTTTAATACGCTTTTTTCTTCTCATCTACGCTATTGTCAGTTGGTATGGGCTTCTGGAACTGAAACATCAAAACAAAAGTCGTATACTTTTCAAAAAAGCGCTTTGCGGGCTGTTGCAAATATAGGTTACAGAGAACACACATCCCATTTATTTGTCAAGTTTAAAGTTTTAAAATTTTGTGTTGCATATGAACATAACTTGTTGTTGTCTTTGAGGTCTGAAATTCGAAAGAATTGCGCAAAACTGAGAGGCTTAGCACATTTACAGCCGAAAATTTTGTTGCGTCCGATGCGGAGTTTTCAACACTGGCACATCCCCCGACCGCGAACAAATTACGGACTCCAAATGCTAAAGCACTCTGTTCCCCCTATACTAAATAAGTTCAAGCTCACAGAACAGCAATTGCGTCTCCTTTCAAGTAGTGATATATTAAACCTGTTTGTATAAGGAACTATAAACCCAGAAAAATTACACCCAGTACTTGTAAATGCATGAAATTTTAAGTGTACCCCTTTCTGTTATAGCGTCTTATATTGGTTGCCTTTTTTCCCAAAAATTGTTTGTTTGTAAACACCCAAGTGTGCATCTATTCTGTACTTCATAAACAACCACTAGAATGTTATTTTCTTTTCTTTTTTCTTTCAATCATACGTGAGCACCGTATGGAGCTTGGTGTGCCATTGTTTCTGTTGCCTTGTACAAATGGAAGGTGGGGCTAGTCAAGCTGCTATAGCGCAGCTTTTTTCCTACTTTCCATGCCACAATTGCTTCTTGTTTGTGTAAATCACGGTGTATCGTTGTGGTGAAATAAATTTCAACTTTCAACTTTTCAACTTTCATGTACTCATGGCCGTTTCGCTAGCTCCACATATACCGATTTTGGTGTTACGTGTCGTCAATGAATAACGAAGGTATATGTTTGGTGTAAGCATGATAATCATGACACGCGGGTCATGTAATAACATGAAAACACACGCTCATGATTCCCTCGCTGCCGTTTCGTTAGCTCCACATATGCCAAATTTGGGATCACGTGATGTCAATAGATGGCGAAAGTAAATGACACGTCAAAACTTGATAATTATATACGTTCAATGTAAAGCATGACCACATGTTACGCTCATAGCGTTCTCGCTGCCGTTACGCGAGTGCCACGTATACCAACTTCGGTATTACATGACGTGAATGGATGACGAATATAAATGACAGGTCCCAGCATGATAACCGCGATATTCTCGCCATGTAAAATATGACTACATGCTACGCTCATAGCGCGCCAGCGGCCGTTTCGCTTGCTCCACATATACCAAGTTTGGTTTCCGGTGACATGAATAGATGACGAAGGTAAATTACACGTCCAAACATAATATTCGTGACAAGAAAGTCATGTACGGCATAATTTACTTTCGCCTTGTAACGCTCTGTAGATTATATAGTGACATATCAACCTTCCTCATTCGTGCTTCTCATATCATCGATTCCCCCTTGTTCGTGGAATCTGCCGAATTTTTTTCTATCAACTATCATTCATTTATTCGAGCAACAGATTTCACATACTGCACATGTCGCCTCGAAATATTCTTGCAGTTTCCCGTACTGTGACGCACGCAGGAGAATGCCTTGTGCGTCGCCTCATCCGTGTTGGGGCACACGCCCGCGAGAAGAAGAGCAAGTGGCGATCAGATTGGCATTTCTCTAGCATTGCGAATCTTGGCCTACGAGATCGTGAGTGCCCAATATATGTATTATACTTGCCAGCTTGAAATGCTCAAACCGGGCGAGGTTTGACAAAGGGACGTGTTCACAGACGGAGGAGAAATTGAACCTGCGCAAATAGACCCAGCCAATAGGCTTAAAGCCCCCTGTGACCTTATGAAGGTCTGCTCATTAACCCCCGTACTAGTCTTCTGTTCAATGCCGAGATGATTGAGACACGGGAGCATAGGCTTGCGAACAGGGGGACGGGCAGGGAGGGGGCTGCCACCTTTCTTAATTAATTAAGAGAGCGCAAAGTCAGCCCCATTCAATGATATAATAAGGAAGGATGCGCTGTGACGAACATTTGCCTGCTCCCCACTCCCCTCCCTTAAGGGGAACCTTGCGCGCACCTATGTACACCAGCAGCGTGTTCATTTGATGGTGGACACTTAGCTAACCATGCTGGACAATACTAAAAAGACCGTGCTTTGCAAACCATGGGGGCAGAAAAGGACAACTATATGGCAATGTTAAATCATAGCCGCCCTTTGCCATCTTTAACTATGAAGTTCTTTCTGCTTTTCTCTCTTACGTCTTTCCTCAGAAATTTCACTTTAAAAAATATAGTGTCTATATTTAGGAAACTACGTTATGCCTGCATATTTTTGAAATCTAAATTGCGATTTTTTCAGTGCTTGAAATACTGGCTTCTAGTTGTAACCTCGAATAGAGGTTCTCGTAAAGAGACCAAACAAAAGTTTAGCCAAATAATGAAAACATTTTTGTGAAGCCTACAATGCACTTTATTTAACGCCCAGCTGACAGGAGCCACTGTCAGTGTGATTAGCTGCATACATTCGCAAACCGCATACGCCACGTCACTTGAACATCACATTTCATTGGAAAGTGTACTTGAGAACATTCTTCAACGCACCAATGTAGACATCGCCCGAAAGTGAGGATAACATCATGCAAGAAAATATTTCAAAAAACATGGTGCCTTTAATTTGTCTGGCATAATGGGAAGAAAGATCTGCTGGTTTCTACTGTTCATGAGTACTTACCTTCAAAATTGCAATAGAAAGCGACATAAACACGATTTTCCAAGTCACACAATAGTGAATTCAGAGAAATATAGATGCATGTGTACAATCTTCACGTGCGTAAAACCTCGTATCTGTATTACCGAGGTATTGCGGCCACGGCTTCCTTGTGACGTTGCTCACCATGCTCGTTTGTAGCCTTTTATGAGTCTGCGAATTAGCTACGTGCACTGAAGTTCGCGACTTCACTAAATATATCATTGGAGATGAAACGGCTCATAATAGATTGCAGCTTATGCTTCTGATTTTTTGTCTGTTGTGGGGAAATAAAACACTCAATGGCTGAAGCATTCATTTAGGACATTTGGTATGTCGCAGTAGTGGTTTCAGTCATATTCGTTCCTTTCTGACGACGAAAAAAATGAAATGTGAACAAATGAACGAACGAGCGAATAAATGAATGAATGCGATTCGTTCAACTCCTGTGCGGTGGACAACACCACAAAGACGCAAAACCATTAAGCTGTGAAGCTACAGATTCCCTAATCAGGAAGTATACATTTTATTGGCAAACATTCTTTAATAAATAGTGCACATATTCTACAATAAAAACTGATTCCAGGACAACTGACTGCTCTTGGTATACCATGGGAATATCAGCCATGAGATCGAGAACAGAATGAAAACAATGGTAAACTAAAACATTGAATGTTATCCTTTTAATGATTTGATGGCATGAGACCACAGTATAGAATGCTTTAAACACGAAGTCAGCGAAGTTTTTTCTATGCTCTGCAGATGCTACAGATTGCGACCAATAGCACGTAAATTGATGGTTTGTAGTGCATTCTTTCCTTCGCATCTGTGCTTTTTTTGCCTTGTTTAGTCAAGGAGTACAGCAAGCTCATTAGTTGCCTTCCTAACACAGAACGAACGAGCCTTACGGGCTATCGTCGGCTTAGCCTGCAACAGAAAAATATACGATCTATTCATGTAAAAAATACCCGATTTGACCACCTGTATGAGTATGAGCTTATATGTTTTTTTGTTTTCAAACTCGAAACAAGAGATTCACTTATATCTAGAACATGGTGAACTTAAAAATCAGCCGATTTTTTGGACACTGGACATTGCGTATTTGCGCTCGCACGAACAAACTGTGCTTTTGGAACAATTTCATGTGTACCCTTAAACTAAGTAGGTATAAAATACATCGAAGGATATCTTTTGCTCCTTGAAACACAGCAATAAAACTGTTATCGCGAATGTAGCCTTTTTTAAGATGTTTAAAAATATTTGCCCTGCCCTTTGAAATTGCTGAATTATCGTTTTTTAAATTTTGTTTTGCTGTATGCATTTCTTTTTTCAATGGTACTACAATAGAATGAGATGAACTTATCTTGCTAGTGTTTAACGGGTAGTTGGCATCGAGCTTCTCTCATGCAGCTTTATTCGCCATCATCGTTGCTTAGTATGACGTGTAAATGCGGTAATATTGAATTGAAAATTTATTAAAAATGTCTATGCACTTCCTACTTACTAGTGCTTGCATATGTGATTCCGATAAGAGACCACTGCAAACATGTTGTCGTAGAATGTTACCTGCACGCCCTCAACAAAGTCTCATGCTTAGATACAGCTTTTCTTTGGCAAATGTTTGTCCATGAAATGTGCAATTGGTTATGGCCCACTGCGGAGAAAATACCTAACGTCGATTATTCTGCGATTATTCTGTCAAGCCTAAGTAAACAAATTTTTGGGGCTCACAAGTTTAGATTATGGCTCAATCTTTGGGAAGGAAAGCATATCAACGCACTAATCAGTACAGAAAAACAGCAACAAATATGAATAGGATGCCACCATGTTCCCGTTGTTTCCAATTGTATGTTCGCAATCGCTTGATGGTCGTCTCAGCCACAAATAAGTTTGTAAAAGCGGCTTAAGCATTCGTCACAATTGGAGGCTGCTTTCTTACATCCTTCATCTTGCTTATCTAAGTGCTTTAGAAATGACTTACAATTTCTAAAACTGACTCTGCATTTAGATACCATGCTTATTCACGCGGCCACCATGGCAGTGCGAATACGCCGCACGTGACATATTCTACTTGTGCCTTTACCAACGCGTGATCAACAGTATTTATTATGTGATGTGACGCGATATAAGATTGCCATAATGTCACATTTGTGATTTCTATCCATACGCGACAGTACTGCATGGTTGTCTGGACCAGCAACACGGCTTCCAGCTCTACGCATATTGTAGGTTTCTTGATGCCCGAAAATGATTTGTCGCCTTTCAGGAACTCAAGACGCTCGGAACACTTGGCACACGGCCAAATCTTCCACGCTAGGGTTGCGTGGACGGCAGCTCCGAGCGAATCACTGGTGCGTCCTTATTGGAGCCCGGTGATGACGCTGTCTATCCAGTCGCGGTATTGCGCCAGGTTGACATACACTCCCGGCACGCCAGCCTGTCCGCATCCAATGCCCCAAGAGACAAGTCCGACGGCCTTCCACAGACCGTTGTACTCGCACACCAGTGGACTGCCTCCGTCACCCTGTGAGGGAAAAAAATATGAGATAATATTTTATTATGAGCATGTCTTTGCGTTCAAGCAGCTTCATAAGTGTGTAGCATGGATATATGGCACACGCACCAGTGAAAAAAGAGAGGGGAAACTGTTGGTGCTCGCTCCGCTTGACAACTGGTTTATGAAATACTTTGGACTTATACAGAAAACCTGAATCGGAGTGTGCACATTAAAATATATGGCAGCTTACAGAGCACGGGTGCTTGAGATGCTTCATAGACACAGCAATAAACGATCTTCTTTATATTGTGAAGTGCTGGTAATTATATATTGTACGTAAATTCACCCGATATTGAAATTAGGCTGTGTCTTCTATTCTTCAGCACACGCCTACAAAATTACAGCACTGGTACTTTTGGAATGCGAAGGGTTAGGATTTTACTAGCAGTTCGTACCTTCCTAAAAAGATATGCATCTCCACAGAAGAGGTCACAATATTGTCACGACGCAGACACAGCAGAAGTCCGATATAGAAGAGCTCACTTTAATTAAAATGAAAGGCGCTCGTACAGAGGACCGGGCAAGAGCTTCGTCTTCCTTTCTGGCTGCGCAAGCTCTGCGGGTTGAATGTGGCATTTGCCTCCCTCCAGCAAGAGCATCGTCCCGAGGCTCGGATACAGAATACGCGGTGTATGTAGTCGACGTATTATGCAACTGGCTCACTGCAATACGGCTTCATCCGCACAACGTGTACGATTTCTGATTTAGCTGCCGCGCCTCCTCAGCTCGTTGGGTAAAGGCTTGAACATCCGTATCTGTATCATTGCAGTCGTGCAGCAACATGGCATCAAGCATTGTCGTCACTTCACGGCCATCATCATCATCATCAGCCTGACTACGTCCACTGCAGGACAAAGGCCTCTCCCATGTTCCGCCAGTTAACCCGCTCCTGTGCTTGCTGCTGCCAATTTATACCCGCAAACTTCTTAATCTCATCTGCCCACCTAACCTTCTGTCTCCCCCTAACCCGCTTCCCTTCTCTGGGAATCCAGTCAGTTACCCTTAATGAGCAGCGGTTATCCTGTCTACGCACTACATGCCCTGCCCATGTCCATTTCTTCTTCTTGATTTCAGCTATGATATCCTTAACCCCCGTTTGTTTCCTAACCCACTCTGCTCTCTTCTTGTCTCTTAAGGTTACACCTACCATTTTTCTTTCCATTGCTCGCTGCGTCATCCTCAATTTAAGCTGAACCCTCTTTGTAAGTCTCCAGGTTTCTGCTCCGTAGCTAAGTACCGGCAAGATACAGCTGTTATATACCTTCCTCTTGAGTGATAGTGGCAATCTACCTGTCATAATTTGAGAGTGCTTGCCGAATGTGCTCCACCCCATTCTTATTCTTCTAGTTACTTCAATCTCGTGGTTCAGATCTGCGGTTATTACCTGCCCTAAGTAGACATAGTCTTTTACAACTTCAAGTGCACTATTACCTATCTCGAAGCGCTGCTCCTTGCCGAGGTTGTTGTACATTAGTTTCGTTTTCTGCAGATAAATTTTAAGACCCACCTTTCTGCTCTCCTTGTCTAGCTCCGTAATCATGAGTTGCAATTTGTTCCCCGAGTTACTCAGCAATGCAATGTCATCGGCGAAGCGCTGGTTACTAAGGTATTCTCCATTGACTCTTATCCCTAACTGTTCCCATTCTAGGCTTCTGAAAACCTCCTGTAAGCACGCGGTAAATAGCATTGGGGAAATTGTGTCCCCCTGTCTTACACCCTTCTTGATTGGTATTGTGTTGCTTTCTTTATGAAGCACTATGGTAGCAGTTGATCCCCTGTAGATTTCTTCCAGAATGTTTATATATACTTCATCTACGCCTTGATTTCGCAGTGTTTGCATGACGGCTGATATTTCTACTGAATCAAACGCCTTCTCCTAATCTATGAAAGCTATGTATAGTGGTTGGTTATACTCTGAGCATTTCTCTATTACCTGATTGATAGTATGAATGTAGTCAATTGTTGAGTAGCCTGTTCGAAATGCTGCTTGTTTCTTTGGTTGATTGAATTATAATGTTTTCTTTACTCTGTTAGCAATTACCTTTGTAAATAGCTTGTATACTACAGAGAGCAAGCTGATCGGCCCGTAATTCTTCAAGTCCTTGTCATCTCCTTTCTTATGTATTATGTATTTCTTATGTATTTCTTATATATTCACGGCCATAAAGAAGACTAAATGGCATGCTTCGTGTTGTTTACTGCTGCACCGTATCATAGGCAAACGTCACGTATTGTAGAACGTCGTCCCAATTTTTATGATTGACGTCGATGTACATAATCAGCATATCAGCAATTATCTTCTTGAAGCGTTCTGTTAAGCCGTTGGCTTGTGGGTGTTAGGAGGTAGTTTTTCGATGCGCCGTTCCACTCAGCTCAAGCACTGATTTGAGGAGCATGGCCGTGAAAGCGGTACCTCTGCCCGTTATTATAACTCTAGGAGCACCATGCCTCGAATGATGTTATCAATGAAAAATCGTGCTGATTCTACTGCGGTTCCACTTGATAAAGCCTTTTTTCTGCGTAGTGAGTAAGATAGTCAGTGGCGACAATGATCCACTTGTTTCCAGTATGTGATGTCGGAAATGGTCCAAGGGAGTCCGTTCTGAATTGTGCAAAAAGCATGGTGGGCACTTGAACTGTTTGCATTAATCCGGCTGTAGCTTGTATACTACAGAGAGCAAGCTGATCGGCCTGTAATTCTTCAAGTCCTTGTCATCTCCTTTCTTATGTATTAAGATGATGTTAGCGTTCTTCCAATGCCCCGCCGCGGTGGTCTAGTGGCTAAGGTACTCGGCTGCTGACCCGCAGGTCGCGGGTTCGATTCCCGGCTGCGGCGGCTGCATTTCCGATGGAGGCGGAAATGTTGTAGGCCCGTGTACTCAGATTTGGGTGCACGTTGAAGAACCCCAGGTGGTCAAAATTTCCGGAGCCCTCCACTACGGCGTCTCTCATAATCAAATGGTGGTTTTGGGACGTTAAACCCCACAAATCAATCAATCAAATCAATCGTTCTTCCAAGACTCTGGTACCCTTCCCGTCAGGAGACACCTCGTAAACAGGGTGGCTAGTTTTTCTAACACAATCTGTCCTCCATCTTTCAGCAGATCTGAGGTTACCTGATCCTCACCAGCAGCTTTGCCTCTTTGCATGCTCTCCAAAGCTTTTCTGACTTCTTCTATCATTACTGGTGGGGTGTCATCTGGGTTACTGCTAGTTCTTATAGTATTAACGTCATGGTTGTCTCGGCTACTGTACAGATCTCTGTAAAACTCCTCCGCTATTTTAACTATCCTATCCATATTGGTAGTTATTTTGCCTTCTTTGTCCCTTAGTGCATACATCCGACTTTTGCCTATCCCAAGTTTTCTCTTCACTGCTTTGACGCTTCCTCCGTTTTTCAGAGCGTGTTCAATTCTCTCCATGTTATACCTTCTTACATCGCATATTTACGCCTATTAATCAACTTTGAAAGCTCCGCCAGTTCTAATTTGTCTGTTGTACTTGACACTTTCATGCTTTGACGCTTCGTAATTAGGTTTTTCGTTTCCTCGGAAAGCTTGCCAGTGTCCTGTCTAACTACCCTGCCTCCAACTTCCACTGCACACTCCGTAATGATACTCGTTAGATTATCATTCATTGTATCTACGCTAAGGTTGATTTCCTCACTAAGAGCCGAGTACCTGTTCTGCAGCGACACTCTGAATTCCTGTACTTTTCCTCTCAGTGTTAGCTCATTGATTGGCTTCTTGCGTATCAGTCTCTGTCGTTCTTTCTTCAAGTCTAGGCGAATTCGAGACCGTACCATTCTATGGTCACTGCATCGTACCTTGCCAACCACTTCCACATCCTGCACGATTCCTGGGTGTGCAGTCTTTATAAAGTCTATTTCGTTCTTATTTTCGCCATTAGGGCTCCTCCATGTCCACTTGCCGTTTTCTCGTTTTCGGTAGAAAGTATTCAAAATCCGCAAATTATTACGTTCTGCGAATTCTACTAGTAGCTCTCCTCTGGCGTTTCTAGTGCCGATGCCATAACCTCCTACTGCCTGGTCTCCAGCCTGCTTCTTCTCTACCTTTGAATTAATGTCGCCAATCACTATAGTATACTGTGTTTTTACCCTACTCATTGCCGATTCCACGTCTTCATAGAAGCTTTCAACTGAAGCGTCATCATAGCTGGATGTAGGCGCATAAGCCTGTACTACCTTCATCTTGTATCTTTTATTCAGTTTAATTACAATACCTACCTCCCTTTCATTAATGCTATAGTATTCCTCAATGTTGCCAGCTATGTTTCTGTGAATTAGGAACCCCACTCCCAGTTCTCTTCTGTCTGCCAAGCCCCGATAGCAAAGGACGTGCCCATTCTGTAGCACAGTATAGGCCTCATCCGTCCTCCTAACCTCACTGAGCCCTATTATATCCCATTTAACACCCTCTAGCTCCTCCAATAGTACAGCTAGACTTCCCTCACTAGATCAGGTTCTAGCGTTCAACGTTGCCAAGTTCAGGTTCCAAAGGCGGCCTGTAGTCCAGAGATTCTTAGCACCCTCTGTTGCGTTGCAGATCTGACCGCCGCTATGGTCAGTTGCTTCGCAGCTGCTGGGAACTGAGGGCCGTGAGTTATTTGACGTATGCATGTGGGAGGTAGGGGCCAGATACTGCACCAGGGTGGCCGATCCTTCTATGGTGAGGGAGTGCGTTCCCGGCGGTGGTTACCGGTGAGGCCGCAACCCAGACCTCTTAATGCAGTTCCATCTACACGCGGACTTTTTTTTTCCGGTTGGGAACTGCGCGGCACCGGGATTTGAACCACAGACCTCTTGCATGCGTGGCGGATGCTCTAACCACTACGCCATCGCCACACCCTGATTGTTATGTTCTAAAGGTAGGTTTCAGCGGTGTATCAGTCAAGTTTGTGGTTATTTTTATAAAAATGTTTTAATGAAATGGGATTTCTGCTTATTA